CAGAGACCAAAGGTGCAGTTAATGATTGCAGAGCACTGAAATTTTTGTTGATGAAGAAAGTAATTTTGATCGTATACCTGGTATGCAGTGACGCGCATGATTTAAATTTGAGAGAAGCTGCTTGGGTAAGTATAGAACTGTTTTCTATATTATGTGTTCCCTGGAATATAGGAAGTGATACCCTGCCTGTGTTATGCCTTGTCTTTAACAAAAACCAAATCATTTCGCATAAGATAAGTGTCTACTTGGCAGACAACATATGTTGAAGTCAATGTCTCTCCTAGCTCATTTCGAGCCTAATAAGCAGGCATTGGGGGTGGTAACTTTTTTTTTTAAAATGTAGGTTTAATAGTACTTGCTACTGCATGTTAGGTAAGATTCTCTATCCTATGCTTCTGCATGTTAAGTAAGATTCTCTATTCTATGCTTCTGGACATGTTAAAAGAAACTATATTTTACCCACGGTTACCGATTGCAGTGCCCTGAAGCTTTCTTCACCTATGTCTTTGCTTCTTCTTTTTTTGTGGTATTTAACTTTGTCTGCATAAAACATATGGAATCTCTTATGTATTTAGGGAAGATGATGGATATATATGAAATCCGACTTCTTTGCAAGCATGTATGTATCTGCATCCTGAACCATATTTCTTCTTGCAAGTTTTAACTCTTGATCATTGATCTGATATGTCTTTTAAATTAAGGCATGTTTGGTGGTACTGGTGCTTTCTCTGTTTTCTATCTTAGGTACATGTTCTGTTGTTGTTCTGTTTGAACTTGTTGAGGTACGCAATGTTTGATTTTATACCAGGAGTTTCAGCTACCGTAGAAATCCGGCCAGGTAAAATTTGTTTCCCCTTAATCAAAGTTATGATTCATAGATTGTTAGTGAAACTCTAAAATAGAGATCTCATGATTTTTCCACATCCTATAGTTTCTTTTTGTGTGTGTACTCGTATAAGTTTATATCAATCTTGCAAGAATTAAGGGTTATTATCTTCCCAAGTCCACACGACTCTATGGGATTACTGACTTTGTCAGCCATTTGTGGTCTAAAGCTAATTGTCTTTCTTGAAACCAAAGGTATTTTTCTGTTAAAATTTGGATATTTTAAGCAAATCATAACTACTATATATGATTCTGTTTGCGGTGGTTTGTCTTATATACTCCTCTTTACAAGTAAGTAGTTATGCATTTGAATCCTCCTAAGTTTGATTGATACATTAACGCATGCACTTTTTTTTTTCCACAAAGTTTCATCTTCTCAAAAGCAAAGCTTTGGTCTCTTTCTAAGGTACACCATTCTCGTTAGACTTTCAATATTAGGATTTGTTGGTTGCGTTTAACTTTTTGAACATGTATGAGTTCGTCAAAAGATTTGAGGTTTGACTCATACGTGTGTTTTTTTCTTCTTGGTAGATTGTTTGCTTTAGGATACAAACATAAATGCATATACACGACTGAACTCATACGCAAACATAGCACAATTTGGTTTCTTTTCGTCTTCTCAAAAGCAATGCTTTGGTTTTA